TTTTTTTCTATTTTGTTCTATGCCTTCAAAATACCTAGACGTTTCACATCTCTAATCATCTAAGCATGCAATAGCAATAATTTTCATGAACAGAAATATACGATTGCTCACCAGTCGGAGCAGCAACTTTGATGTCAGCCTACAAGTTTTCAGGAGAGAGGCTGGCCAGTTACAAAGGTGGAAGACGGGGCATTCAGGTCAATCTCTGCCAAGTTTGGTCAGAACTGGGTGCCCAGGGTACTTTCTGTGGCGTCTTGGTCAGGCTTCTGTGCAAAGAGCTAAAGGTTGCCAGGCTAGCAGCTGGTGGCCGAGCAGCACATCTGTATCCTCACATCCACAGGCTGCTTCTGCTGGAAAGGCCAGGCTGACGTTGGCACCCCATGCCCATACGCTGTCTAGACCTTCACCGTCAGATGTGGAAGGCACATGGCTGGTAGTTCAACTTGGGCTTCCTGGGAACCCATCTTCAGGTCCCATTTAATGCAGCATTATGCAGCTGCCTCTGTGCTTCACCACTTCAGCGACTCCTTCAAAAGCCTCTACGAGCAGGCGCCAGGCATCTCGGACGGCAGAAGACACAGCACATCACGACGCATCCAGCCAGAAGCTGGATAAGGGAGCGTGGCACACGACTGGACTGAAGAGCGTGCGTGCTCACTAGGTGCACTGCTCCTCACAGCATGCGAGCCCAAAGGAAGAGAACTTGGCTGCACACCAGCATTTTAATCAAGGAAGTGACATCCATTTACCACGGAGCAGAAAGTAAACAGCATGGCCAGTTGGGGCAGGGTGCAAAGTAACGCAGGAAAAAGCTGGAGCGAGGCCAGAACAGTTCGGAACAGAGACAACCACACACAACTTAACTGAAATGCAACATGCTATCACGTTAAATTATTGCCGATTCCAAGAGAAGTAAAAACACCGCAGTAATTCCCTCGTTGAACGAGGAAACCATCAAGCAAACAAAGTTCCTTCTATACTGCTGTAACTATTTTACAATGGAGTAAACCAACTGCTTGGTAAGCCCTAAGAAAGACTGCTTAAAAGAGAAAAAATTAAGAATTTAGTATCAATAAAATAACAGGAAAAAAATGCAAGGGGTACTCTAAGATCATTCTACAGCTTTCTCAGTGTTTATCAGCATGCTAGGTTACAAGCAATCTGCAGGCTGATTACTTTCTGGAGCTGTTGCTAACGGTTAGTTAGAAGATGTAACAGTAGATCCTCAGTGAAAGCACCTATGCTCAGTGAGTCCCTCCAGTGCTGGACAAGCATAAGGGATTCAAGCTTCAAGCACCTCTTTGAAACTGGAGGTCTGCAATTTTCATTTCAAAATTGAGAAAGTGTTTTTATAAAGCTGTGTGACTTACGCAACATTGCACAAGCAGTTAATTCCAAGGTCAGAAGCAAATTCTCTCATTTGACTCCCTTGCACCCGAATTGCAAACTCAGTGCTCACCCACTTTCCTTCCACTTATTTAGCACTGGGAAACATCATTTGCTTTTACTTATTTCAACATAAGGAGCGTGGAAATCCTGTTTTGTTTTAAAAGGAACTGGGCACCTGAGGTGTATACTATTTCAGCATAAACTGTTTATTTTGACCCAAAATTGCACTTTATCTATTGAGAAATATTTAGATTAAAAGTTCCCTCTTGCTATTAATTGTAATTAGGTCTCTAGACATCTGCCAAAATGGAAATTCTACCAAAATCTGCTTTTTCCTTTGCAGTGCAATGGCGTTCTTTCAGTAAGTTAACACGCAACATGAAAACCCTAGTGATTAATGAAATCATGTGACTAGTTTTGGACAATCATTTATCTTACCCAGTCTATCTTAATTTCTTAGTCCCTTACCTCTCCCAAACAACTTGTTGTAACCTCAGATAGTCCATCTCCCTTGCACTCTCCTGCTACGCTGGAAAACAAAAAATCTGGAGCACTCTCTCCCTAGCATGTTATCTTCCTCACCAAGAGGAAATTGAGTCAGCTGAAATACGTAGCATAAACCAAGTTAGAAAGAATAAAACTCTGGAGAAGTAGCATACCAAAGTACTTAATTTTTGTTACCATTCCCACCCTCCTCGCATCCTTGGTGGGTATACGCATGTCTGTCTCTCCTTTGCCCCCACACAAAACCAACAGTAAAAGTGGAAGCCCTCTGTCAAAATTTTAGCAAACAACAGTCCAGGAATTCAAGATTACTACATGCCATTTCAACCATTGCATTTCATTATGGGGAAAAAAGCTGATGCTGGCTTGTGCTCTGAAATATTTTCATTGTTCATTCATATCATTGCAGTCATACTTGGACTTAGTGCCAGCCAGCTGATTTTTTCAAGCAGTGGGTAGCTGCTAAAATTATAAGTGCAGTATATAGCAATAAATCACTAAAAGACAACCTGAAAATTTAAATAACTGCATAGCTTCCCTAAACCAGGTCCATTCAAGAGAGGTCCTCATTCCATACTTTGCAGACTTCACCTCAAATCCCATCTAACCCACTCTTCTGTGGCAATAACTGGGTGAGGCTAGTTGAAGCTGTGCCCACCTGACAGCCAGAAACGGTCTCCAAAGGCATAGCTTGGTCTTCTCAGGGAGTCCTCCTCCTCACACCACAAATACCTTGCCTCCTTCTGCAAATTCTATGTTGCCCACAATAGAAACTTATTCAAACTAAGTTTCTGCAGAGGACTGCTGAGAACTTCTGCATGTACATATAACCAAGCAATAGGAGTTCCACAGTTTTACCTGCTACATCACAGGAACAGCTTTGCATCACCCCAACTTTCAAAAAGTAAAGTGTTCATCACTGTTGGATGGCTTTACTGGTACTCCTATCCTAAATAGGGGGAAGGCAGGGAGCTGGAGAAGAAAGGCAGAGGAACAGGACAGCTTCACTTGAGGTAAGCATTTCAGGTTGAATTTTCATCATATCACCGTAGTTCCCATTTCAGAAAAAGAGAGATCAAGCTATTCCTGTTGAAATCCTTGGCCCAAGAGGCCTATGATGACAGCTGCACATCTTGTTCCGTTACGACAGGAGGTTTCTCTCAACTGAATAAATCACATATTCATCAACAGTTAATCCTTGGAATGAAACATAAATGTACACTGGCAGTTGAAGCGAGAAACAGAAGCATTACCCAAGCCATATGTCCTCTAGCTTATAAAAATCTTATTCTGAATTTATGTATGCAGAGTAGGAACACAATAAGAAAGATACCTTTCACTACAACCTGCAGTGATGTGCATAGAAACTCCTTATTTCACCTGGTACACCAAGCATGTGTACAAGGATTCAGAGAGATGAGGTACTCTCTCTGAAGCAGCTCTTCCCAAAATAGGGACAGTTATAAGCACAATAGTAAGTCTTACAGTGTTATTCATCTAATAGCTGAGCTTGTATCAGAGGTTGCACTATATCAGCATTCAGACTTGCGTTAAATTCCTCTGATACCGGAACTACAACTGAAACCAATGTTCTAAAGACTCCGTGCTGTCACCGTCTCTTGGACGCCCAGAATCAGGAGTGCTTGCTTATAAGGTATAAAGCATGGAATTTCTTATAATGCCAGTGGAAACATCCTAAATTACTTCTCATGCCAAGTTTGAGAATTATTTTTTGAACACTAAACTTCTAAATTTGTTTTTGGCAATCAAAAAATAGAGCCTCAAAAATCTTCAAATATATCTCACACAAGAAGGATACTCCTTTCTTATCTCATGAACTGTAAGTAGAAAAATAACCTAAAACCCAAGGAATTCATATATGCAGAAAAATGTATGTTCAAATCCATGATACTGCAGTAAAACTGCATATGACAGAAAAATGTGTGTAGACTGGTAGGCAAACTCAAACTCATTCATCTGCAGCCCAAAAAAAGAGCATTTTATTTGGTTAGGCTAAAAAAGATCGGCGGTACATAATTTAGGCACATTATAACATGTACGAACAGTGCAAACTCATTTCTTAGCTATGTTTATTCCAAAATAACCTGAATTCAAATCCAAACTAGATGCTGAAATAGAAAAAAATGCAACTGCAAATTATCTACTTTAGTAGGCACATACATAGACCAGCTCTCACATCACATCTGAAACAGCCTGAAAACTGTTCTCTCAGATTGCAGAAATACTCCTAAGTTTGTCAGCAGTTAGAGAAAGGTGGGTCCTGGATACCAATCACAGCATTGAAAAGAGGCAAGCCTGGATACTAGTTTTATTACTGAGACAGCAAAGAATACTAGAACTAAAAAGTCAGTTAATCTATGGCTTAGTCACCTCATCTGTAGGAGAGGAAAAACACTCCACCCTCATTTGTGGTAAGCTATTACAGGTGAAAGTTTGAGAAAGACTTTGAAGGTATACTCTTAAAAACATTTGCATAAATATTAGATAGCATTTTAGGGCCAAGCAATATCCATTTAGCACTGAAGCGTTTGAAATTCAAACTTGCTTATATGCAGTGTGGGGACAAGGGCTTGAGAACTGAGGGAAAGTTCAAGCCTTACCATCCAAAACTTGTCAGGAACTACTTGCTAGCATGCATAAGATGGATGTTGTAAAAAAGTCCATTTCCCAAACTGTCTACAGTAAAATATATTTGTTTCTAGAGCTGAAAGATTCTCAGTTGGTGACTTTACCACTGCCCTTTTTCTATCGCCATACCCCTCTTCTTCCTCCAGCCTCAGTCTCCACAGAACATTAAGGACAAGTAGCCTACAAATGCTGCAGCTTGATACCTTGGCTTTATTCCAACTGGAAAGTCAAAAAACCCAGTAACCATACAGTCCAGTATTTTTGGTTACCAAGTTGAAAAGTAACATCCCAAGAAAATTCTTCAGTAACTCTGTCACAGAGAAGATCACCTACATAATCAGTGCAAACCACTCTCGCACAAGGAAGCATTTCTGCCTCTTGCAACTAAAGCCACCACAAAAAAAGTAGATTCATTTTCCTTTTTGTGTGGCCTCTACACATATAGCACGCCAGAACACAGAAATTTTGTATCACGTATCTATGCAATGTGCCAAAAGAGGCACAACCAAGTGCGTGGTTCTTGGTCACAGCTCACCTGAAATCACTGGAATATATGTTGTATATTGATGAAAGCAAAAAAGTCAGGCCTGCCAAACGTGGAGTGATTGTTGGATCTGAACTGTTTAAACTATATTCAAAAAGATTGAGAGGAAACTAGGCAAAGAAAGCTTCAAAGGGCCTCTAAAGACCTCCATCTCATGGATTCCATACCTATGCCACGGAGAGGAAATTTCCCATATATGGCCCAAGCCAATAAGCAGACTAGGTTTGCATTTCAGTTCACAGCTTTTGACAAGCCCAAGCTTTCAAATATCATGGGTCAGTGCTCCAGCAATCATTGGGTTTTATAAACCAATAAATCTGAGTTTTGTTTTTTGGTTTTTGTTTTTTTAATTTGCCTTCCCCTGCCCCCATCTTTGCCATATACAGGCATCATTAAATTTTCATTTTGCTTCTCTGTGAGGAACACTTTTTTTCCCCATTCTAGGCTAATTTGCTTTGTAAAATGACAACCGAGATTCTCAGATTAGCCTGTAAGGCCTGGTGTCAGGGCATTAAGAAAAAAAATATACCAACTATCAGGGAAGTTGGGGACAGATATTGCGCTGTCTTGTACTTTCACACAGCCCTTGAACAACAGAGAACACTT